CAAAGCTGTATTGTTTCGATCCGTGCCTGGACAAGCTTGAATCGGCTAATGTAGGGGCCTTAATAATTAGTCTACCTGGAACCTCCGGGGTCTCTGTAATTCCGCCTGCCTGTGTTCAGGGGGGTGTTCCAGACTTCAAAGGTAAGGAAACGCCTGCCGAGTAAATTTCTGCCTTCCGGATTTTCGGGATAAAGCACTGCAGCCACCATCCAAGTATCTCAGGACCTACACATCGAGTTTCCTTCAAATAAAACCTGACCTCTGAACTTAAGGACCTAATTCCGCCCAAAGCTTCAGACCCTGAATCCTACGTAAGCCCTCTCAAACTAAACCCCCCTTGTGGTAAAAAAGAGTGAACCGACTTCCGAAACTGGACAGCCAGGTCGCTACGACAAGTTCCGCTGTGGCCCTTAATTCATGTAATATTACTTAGCAACCTTCTAAAACCCTGGACACAAAAAGCAAACCCAACCCTATAGAAGCAACCACTTCGATACGTCCATGGGCCTCGTGGCGAACGGCATCCCGGCTTGGAGGACCCGGGGCATACATAGGCTTCTAAGTGGATGGGGTTACAGGTTCATCCAAGGGTTTGCGAGCCAAAACTTCATCCAGACTACGTAGGGTCCTACTACTATATGGCAAGGGGCACACAATAACAGCATTTGCATTCTCTTTCAGCCAGCCAGCGTTGCTACTGCGAGCATGTATACGAGCTTGCAAGCACTTGCCTATGCATCCAGTTGTAACACTTGTACCCAGCTTCACACCTGCATGCATCCAGTTGTAGCGCGTGTCAACGCCTGCCTCCAGCTTTGCGCTTGCGGCCCCGTCCATCGTGTATATCTTTCCAGTTCTTGCGCAACACGAAAGAAAATTTAAGCAGATAGTGCTGTAAGAGGTGTTTCTCAAAGAGGTTCCTCTTGAATCCTATGCGGCGAGACTGTCGCGCCACGCGCCCTATAAAGTCTTCCGACATGCTGCAATCGAACGCTGCTGGATTGATGGTTGCCTGGTTCTGCACGAAAGACATCTCCAAGTCATGTTTAAAATGGCATAGGGCATGGTACTTCGGAGTTATGCCGAACAAAGGCATCTTGCGAATCATGCAATATTGCGCTAGCTGAGAGTAGCCTCTCAGGAAATCGTAAATGCCCTGGCGAAGAAAGCGGCTGCAGGTTGGCGCTAACCAAAGCGAATGGCCGTGGATTCCTTGCGTGAACTGCAATCCTCCAGTCACAGCTCGCTCAATGAAAGTACAAGCACGGCAGCTGGCAAAATCATGGCCCGTGACCACGGCGCAACCACGGCTGCGAAGCTGTACCAGGAGCACCCGCAACCACTTAAAAAGAACAACTGTGTCCGCTCCTTTGCATCCAAGCCAAGGGAACGCCTTTCCACTGGCAAAGTGCATCTTTTTCTTGCTGAAGCTTTTGAGGCCACCAACATGCAAAGATGAAGTTTCCAGAAAAAGCTGAAATTGTCTCCAAGCTCTTACGAGCCTGTTGTCAACAGACTTTGATTCACCTTGAAGGTCGAAGGCTCCCAAGTTGCACAAAAGCAGAATTGTTGATGCCAGAAAGTTGCGCGCCACGCCTGACCCAAAGAATCTTATAAGAATTTCGAAACTTGTACGTAGCCTCTATATAAACACATAGTATGCGAGTATGTATGTATGTATGTATGTATGTAAGTAAGTAAGTATGTATGTATGTTTGTACGTACGTGTCTGCATGTATGTATGTATGTATGTATGTATGTATGTATGTATGTAGATGTATGTATATGTATGTATATGTATGTATATGTATGCATATGTATATATGTATATATGTGTATTTATGTATATGTAATATGTTTATGTATGTATGTGTATATATATA